ACTTCCTTATCAGTTTGATAGAGTCCCAGGGCAGAATCATCATCCATCTACAGGTCTCTCTTTCCTCTCCCTCCTCAGCAGTGGAGAGCATCCCAGTGTTTGGGGCACTGTGTTCCTCTTCGTCCCTGCACCAGACCCTGGAAGCCTTGGCCAGAGACCTCACCAAACTCGACTTGCGGCGCTGGGCCAGCTTCATGGATGCTGGAGTGGAGCACGATGACGTAGCAGAGCTCCTGCAGGAGCTACAAAGCCTGGCCCAGTGCTACCAGGGTGGTGACAGCCTCGTGGACTAAAGTTCCCAGTGTGGGAGAGAGGAGCTAGTGTGCAATAAAAACAGCTGGATGCAGGAGCCCAGTGTCTTCGTGCAGAGGAGCTCGATGTCGCAGGACTAGCTACACCAACATATGCACTTTTTACATTTAGAAACACTGTGATTAGACCACAGAACAATAAATATGTGCCATCAGACCAAAAAAAAGTAGAGAAAGGAGCTGAGCTCCACTCTCACTCGATGCTATTTACAGAGGAGATCTGTAAGGTCTTCATAAAAGACCTTGAATGGTGCCTAGGATGGCAGAGCCCCTGGGTCCTACTCCATCCTCCAGCCTTTGTCCTCGTCCTGGGCTCCTCTCCCGGTCTGTAAACTGGGCGCAAGGACTGTACAAGCAGAGTACAACTACCCTCCTGCCTAATGACAGGGCACCTGCTGGGTTTGGTCCTGTGTAGATGATACCCAAGTATTCCCAGAGTCTCATTCATCCAGCTCCTCTTCAGACAGAAGGTCCCCACGGTCAGACAGCTGGTCTGCATTGCTGGTACTGGTTGCATCATCCTCATCCTCAGAGCTGGCTTCACAGGCAGTGTGGAAGAGCTGCATGAGTTCTCGAAAACGGTGGGAGACCTAAGAAAGGAGAAGGGCTGTATTCGCTGATCCTTAGTAACATGTTAACATTTATGAAGCACTATATATTGATTTGCAAAATCTTTTATGTATTCAACACAGCAAGGTTGGGAGAGCTATGTCATTATAGCTAAGGAAACTCAAGAGGCTAAATGTTTTGTCCAAAGTCACATGCCTCCTAAAAACAGAATTAGAATGGCCGGCACGGTGGCTCACACCTGTAATCCCAGCACTTTGGGAGGCCGAGGCAGGCGGATCACTTGAGGTCAGGAGTTTGAGACCAGCCTGGCCAACATGGTGAAACCGTGTCTCTACTAAAAATACAAAAATTGGTCGGGTGGCGGGCGCCTGTAATCCCAGCCATTCGGGAGGCTGAGGCAGGAGAATTGCTTGGACCCAGGAGGCAGAGGTTGCAGTGAGCTGAGATCATGCCAGCACTCCAGCCTGGGCGACAGAGCAGGACTCCAGCTCAAAAAAAAGAAAAGAAAAGAAAAGAAAAAGCTAGAATGGAAACTGGGGCTTTCACAGGAAGGACAAAATGCAGTGTCCTTTCTCCTGTCCTAGAACCACTACCACCCTGATGAGTCAAGCCTTTCCTTAGATCAGACCTTTACAGAAACCACTTACTGTCTTGGATGTGAAAGCTCCTCCTTTGGCCTTTCTATCTCTTTGTTGGCCATCTTGTCCTCTTTTTACTGGGTCTTCTCCACCCCCACTCCCACTTACCTCAGCAGGTGTCTTATTTCCCAGCTGCTGGGAGATGATGCTGAAGGTCTGTGGCTGTGCCCCTTGCTCCTGGCACATGGTGAGGATCACACGGTCAGCTTTCCTGTAACCCAGGTATCATGATTAAGCCTAGGGAGCCACATGGATGTGGTCTATGCTCTTTTCCAAACACACGTCATCCACCCTTACCTACCTTGTCCACAGGACAACCTTTTCCCCAGTGGAGCTGACCTTGCTGTTGTTGGCACACACTGTAGCTTCTGTGGCCTTTGGCTGCTGCTCTCCCTCTGGACCTTTGCCCTGTGTTCCACTGTCTTTAGACAAACCCCCTCTAGGGGCTTTGGGAGAAGTCTCTGACGTGTCAATTCCTGATGGAGATTCATGGACAGGGGATGTCCTGTCTCTTGTCTTCACCCTACCTCTGCTTGAGGGCAGCCATCTCTCTTGAGTGTCTGGTTTCCCGGACACATGTCTTCTCCCTGCATCTCTGGTCTTTGAGGAAACAGGACTCAGGAAGGAAGCATGGGGTTCCACGGTACCAGGCAATTGCTCAGTTTCTGATGCATCCCAGACCAGCATCAAAGCCTCTGACTCACCCACTGCCTTTTGGCCCTCCCTCTCTTTCTGAAGTCTGGGGGATGCCTTGGGGCAGGAGAGAGCCTCAGGCCCAACCTGGTTTCTCTTAACAGTGTACAGTACAGCTCCAGTTTTGGGGGGAAATTGAGGAGTCTCTGGTGAATGAGGTGGTGGGCCATCCAGGAGGAGCTGTTTTGTAAGAGTCACTTCTCGAGGGGACGGCAAAGTGGCCCCCACTGGCAATCCTGCTTAGGAGGAAAATAAGGATCTCAGGGTACTGTCAGGATCAAGATGCACCTAAGCACGAGAATTTACCATAGGTCACTGTGGCCAGGTACTGTGCAAAAATTCTAATACAAAAGAGGGCCGGGCATGGTGGCTCACACCTATAATGCCTGCACTTTGGGAAGCCAAAGTGGTGGGATCGCTTGAGGCCAGGAGTTTGAGACTAGCCTGGGCAATATGGTGAGATCCCATCACTACAAAAATTATAAATAATAAGAGTTGGGTGGAGGTGGGGGGCATAATGTCACTTATGCAAAGATACAAAGTCCTACTGCCAAAGCTGAGAATGGCCCAGTCTTTACGATGTAGATTATAGTAGATTTGGAGATGGGGGAAGAGTTTTAGGAATAGAAACACAAGACAATGTTGAATCGCATGAAATTTGTAGCAGTCTTTTTTTTTTTAGACGGAGTTTTGCTCTTGTTGCCCAGGCTGGAGTACAGTGGTGTGATCTCAGCTGACTGCAACCACCACCTCCAGGGTTCAAGGGATTCTCCTGCCTCAGCCTCCTGAGTAGATGGGATTATAGGCTTCTACCACCAGGCCCAGCTAATTTTTTTTTTTTTTGTATTTTTAGTAGAGACAGAGTTTCACCATGTTGGCCAGGCTGGTCTTGAACTCCTGACCTCAGGTAATCCACCCATCTCGGCCTCCCAAAGTGCTGGGATTACAGGCGTGAGCCACCGCCCCCAGCCACGCACTCTTAATTCTGCAAGAGGAGTGAGGCCATAGGATAGAAAAAGCCTGAACAGGAGAAGGGCTTCCTATGGGTACATCAGTGAAAGAGGTGGTATATCCATCCCTGTAAAGGCTATTTATCCAGGCTCATGGAGGTTCCTGTCTGGAGTACAGGAGAATGAGACTGAGAAACAGAAGGGCTGGGTTGGCAGATCACTCACCTGAAAAAGGCATCTCTCCCTTTCTGGTGGTCCTGACAGTCCTGCTCTGGGTGGCCTCATGGGGCTCCTTGCTCTTGTAGGATTTGCTGTCACAGACCTGCAGAGATGGTCTTCTGGGTCAAAGGTGTCCTGACCGCCTATGTCTTCGGGGCACACCAAAGGAAGAAACCCTGCCTGATGCTCACCAAGTCAACCCACATGCATGTCTGCTCCAACAATTTTTTTTTTTTTTTTTTTTGAGACAGTGTCTCGCTCTGTTGCCCACACTGGAGTGCAGTGGCGCCATCTCAGCTCACTGCAAGCTCTGCCTCCCAGGTTCACGCCATTCTCCTGCCTCAGCCTCCCGAGTAGCTGGGACTACAGGCACCTGCCACCACGCCCGGCTAATTTTTTGTATTTTTAGTAGAGATGGGGTTTCACCGTGTTAGCCAGGATGGTCTTGATCTCCTGACCTCGTGATCTGCCTGCATCGTCCTCCCAAAGTGCTGGGATTACAGGCATGAGCCACCACACCCAGCCAACAATTTTGTTTTTTTAAGGGACAGGGTTTCAATTGGGTGCAGTGGTACATACCTGTAAACCCAGCTACTTGGGAGTCTGAGGTGTGAGGATCACTTGAGCCCAAGGGTTCAAGATCAGCCTGGGCAACATAGTGAGACCCTGTCTCAAAACAACAACAACAACAAAAACAGGCCAGGTGTGGTGGCTCACACCTATAATCCCAGTAGTTTGGAGGCCGAGGGCGGGAATCACTTGAGGTCAGGGATTCCAGACTAGCCTAGCCACCATGGTGAAACCCCATCTCTACTAAAAATACGAAAATTAGTGGAATGTTATGGCGGGGGCCTATAGTCTCAGTTACTTGGGAAGCTGAGGCACAAGAATTACTTGAACCCAGGAGGCAGAGGTTTCAGTGAGCTGAGATTGTGCCACTGCACTCCCGGCTGGACAAAAGTGAGACTCCATCTCAAAAATAAAAAAAGAGAGAGACAAGGTCTCACAGATAACAGAGATTATCTTGCTCAGGTTGGAGTGCAGTGGCTATTTACACAGGCATGACCGTAGTGGTACACTATATCCTCAGACTCCTGAGCTCAAGTAATGATCTTCTGGCGCGAGCCTCCTGAGTGCCCCTTTGCCCAGCTACTGCTCCAAATATTTTATTTTGATTGATTGATTTTTTGAGATGGAGTTTCGCTTATGTTGCCCAGGCTGGAGTGCAACGGTGCGATCTCTACTCACCACAACCTCCGCCTCCCAGGTTCAAGTGATTTTCCTGCTTCAGCCTCCTGCGTAGCTGGGATTACAGGCATGCGCCGCCACGCCGAGCTAATTTTGTATTTTCAGTAGAAATGGGATTTCTCCATGTTGTTCAGGCTGGTCTCCAACTCCCAACCTCAGGTGATCTGCCTGCCTCAGCCTCCCAAAGTGTTTAGATTACAGGTGTGAGCCACCATGTGCAGCCAGGGGAAGGGTACTAATATTAGATATGACTCCTAATGATTCCACTCTCCACTCCGCCCTACTGGTCTCCAGCTAGGGCACTACCCCAAGCAGAGCAAGGAGGTAAGGCCCCTCCCATGTCCCAGAACCTCCTTCCTTGAGCATCCCTTCCAGGACATCCATGGCATTCCTGAGCCTGTGAAGATTAGACAGGCTCTGGTTTCAGGTAGCAATCCCTCCCTACCCCAGTGCTTTATGCTTTGGGTAAGCCTAAAAAGTCCTTGCCTTGTTCATCTCCTCCAGGAAGCCCATGACATTCCAGAGGCAAAAAGGTATGGAGTAGGTTGGGTAAAGAGACAAGGGAAAGGCCTAAGGCCCAGAAGACAATAGGAAGAAAGCAGGACAGGAAAGAATACCTCGGTGATCTCCTGCGGAAGGCAGTCTGCACAGCCCTGGAGGACCTTGATAATCTTCTGGTGGTGTGAGGGGTTCTCTGCAAAGCAAATCTCCAGCTGCCGAAGGAACTTGCGGCTCTTCTCAAAAGCCTGCTGCTCCTCAAACTACCAGAGTGCAAAGTGGACAAAAAAGGAGTCACAATACAGCTAGAGCAGGACTTGAGGGTTCTAAGGATAAGAACTAGTGGACCAGGACACAAGAGATGACAGAATCCTGGTTTAAAATTCTAGTTTACAACTATGAGATCTAATTTAAAACCCTAACCTCCATCCACCTTGGACCACTGGTGGGTAGCCACCCAAAGCAATTAAGATGTGAGCAACAGCTTCAAGAGATGTACATATTTCATGTTGTTTGCTATATTATGGATGTGAAATGAGACACCCAAACTCATGTACTACTTTAGAGCTTACATTACAAAGAATTTTCAGGCCTTGCAAGGTGGCTCATGCCTGTAATCCCACCACTTGGGAGGCCAAAGCAGGAGGATCGTTTAAAGCCAGGAGTTTGGGCTGGTGCGGTGGCTCATGCCTGTAATCAGAGCACTTTGAGAGGCCAAGGTGGGTGGATCATGAGGTCAGCAGTTCGAGACCAGTCTGGCCAAGATGGTGAAACCCCATCTCTACTATAAAATACAAAAAAATTAGCTGGGCGCAGTGGCAGGCACCTGTAATCCCAGCTACTCAGGAGGCTAGGGCAGGAGAATCACTTGAACCCGGGAGGTGCAGGTTGCAGTG